AGGTAATTTTTCACATCCGCAATTGTTACATATAAGGCCTCAAATGTTTTTGGAAATCGAATGGATAGGGACAGGATTTTTTTTTTTTTTTTTTTTTTTTTGAGTTTTGTGGCTTCTATTCCTTTGTTCAAATTTTTTAGGAATCTACAGCCATCTATAGAAAAATGGGGTTATTTCGAGCAGAGTATGATTTGAAAGAGTAGTATTGTAATATTGGATATTTTTGGGATTTTTAGTGAGTTAGGTGGGGAGATAGTAAAAGTGACAGGAAAATTGAAAACAATTATTTTGTTTCTATGGCCAGTTGGAAAGTATAACGGCAGGCGCCTGGATCCAAATGGTAGAAAGTATGAGGACAGGCGACAAATGTAAAGACAAGGATTTCGATGCAGGACGCGCAAAAGCGTACTGCAAGCGAGTGACGGGATTGTTGGACCGACTTCCGCCCTGGATGAGGTCAAAATATTGCCCCCGCGTAACCAACAGAAGATGTGCCACACAGAATGGTGAAAAAATATGCGTGGTTGACACATACACCAAGGAACCATGTTGCAGCGGATTCTTATACTACAAGAAAATTGTAAAAACAAATCAGCCTTTTACGGTCTGTCTCGGCCTCCTCTTAACCGAGAAACCATCACAAGAATGGTTAGACGAAAATGGTAACTTTAACCCTGATGCGGGAGTGAGCGGCTCTGGCAATGATAACGAGCAGGGTTCGGAACATACAGCAGGCGCCGACGCGCCGAATACGCCCGCGAAATCGGTCATGGCGCCTGAAAAATGAAAGCTCTGCGTCAAAGTGGCCCCTAAAAATTGCCATCCCCTCCCCCGAAAAAATCCTAATTTCTCTGTTCGGTGATTTTTGGAGCTTTTCTCTTCCCCAAGTTACAGCTACTACCCTGCTAAAAATGCTGAGTACAAATGAGTAGAAAATCAAAGTCATGTGAATTGGAATTCTATTCATATGAATAGAATTCAAACTTACATGAATAGAATTCAACTCATGTGAGCAGAATTTCTCTATTCAGTTTTTTCCAACTCATATGACTAGAGATTTCAACGCACATGAGTTCAGCTTTGAATCTACCTTGTCCGATATCTCAGAAACTAGTCACCGCATCAAAACAATTATAAGTATAAAATGCTTTTATATTTCAAATTTACATACTATGTCGGTGTTTCCTGGTCAGAAACAGCACTTCTGAAAAATGAAAAAAATTGAATTCATATGAGTTTAACTTTTCTACTCTTATGAGTAGAATATTCTAGTAATATGAGTAGAATTTCTACTCTTATGAGTAGGAAGTTCTACTCATGTGAGTGGGCGAAACCTGAATAGCCTACTCGTCATTTTTAGCAGGGAAGTTTTGTAACTTAAACATCGTACATTTTACTTTTCACTGAATGTGCCGGGAAAAATTTGATTTGGCCCCAAAAAATCTCCAATGGCCCCTAAAAATTGTGCTTGATGGGCCACATGGCTCCTGAAACTCAGAGTTGAGTAGCGAACACTGGTCGCTAGGCATACATGTCACCAAGGAGGTGGATAGTTACTTATAATTGTTTGTGAGCATTTAGCTGCCGAGGCTATGAGCACTGTTACTGATAGACGTCGCGTCGGGAGATTTTCATTTGATCAGGATACATGTTATAATTGGATAGGTTTACCTTGTACTCCTGATGTGAATTCTTTTGTTGTGTTAACTATACAATGATCATATTTCGGCATATACTTTGCCATTGTCAGGTATGTTAAAATAATTGGATGAGGGTACTTTGTGATCGCGCTCAATTTTAAAATAAATACTATGTAAACTAGACTAAACTAGATATCAGGAATATGCATGAAGCGTCCAGGGGTAACTTGCAAAGGCGTTACTCAACAAAAAAAATTCACATAGTGCAAGGTGAAAAGTCCATCCTATTATAACTACTGTATATGTCTCTCTTATCATAATTCTAATAGTTTACTTGGAATATTGATTTTGTAATTCAAAGATTTTCTGTTTAAAATATCAGTAAAAGATGTTTAGTTATAATTTCCAAAAGTAGTATCTTATAGGCTTTGCTATTTAAGTACTGATTATTATTATCATTTTATAAGCTATTAATAAAATACCTATGAAAGTTTGAGCTTTTTCGACTAATCATAAAGATACTGGTGTTTTATATTTTATTTTTGGTGTTTGGAGAGGATTGATTGGAACTTCTTTTAGAATAATTGTTCGTTCCGAGCTTATAAATGTTGGATCTTTTTTATCAAATGAACATTTATATAATGTTGTAGCGACTTCTCATGCCTTTATTATAATTTTCTTTATAACTATACCTAAATTTTCTCGTAATTACGAAATTGTTCATTCCCTCTCGTCTGATCCTGTTTATATACCTCATTTCATATATTTCTGAAAGTCTTTCTTGTGTTTATTGTTAGTTCATATCGAATAGATCCTAGCTGTCTTCATTATTTATTCATAGTTTTCTATCGTAATTACAAGACTGTTCATCCCCTCTCGTCTGATCCTATTTTAATACCTCATTTCATATATTTTTTAAAGTCTTTCTTGTGTGTATTGTTAGTTCATATCGAATAGATTTTAGCTGACTTCATTATTTACATAAGGAACTGTAATTTTATTATGCACTTTTTGCAGAGTTAGGTTCTTGTGTAAATTTTACTTGTAGATGATTTCAATCATTCTTTCACCACTAAAATTTATTCAATTTTAGTTCTAGTCGAGCCATATTTCACGTTGACTAATTTCCTTTCAAGGTTCTTTTACTTTCTCGCTACTCTAGGGTAGAGGAAGTATTTTCATCCTGCAAGGGGGGGGGGGAGTTGAAGGTTCATCATTTCTATACGTTTTATGGTCCCAGGAGGCAAAATAACCATACATGAAAAAATGTGTGTCCGTCCATCAGGCGTCCCCCAAATCTGTCTACAGCGATATCTCAGAATCTATCTGTTCGATTTCATTCAAAATTTGCAGAGAAGACCATATCTATGGTCTCTTTATGCACGTCAAATGATTTTGGGGTACGCTGAAATTCAGGGAGGCTAGGGGCCAAGGTCCATTTTTAGCAAAATCACACGGAAAGCTCATTTTGAAGGACTGTACATTTAAAAAAAAATGCCTTTAATTCTTTGAAAGTTGGCATAAAAGCACCACCTGCGTCATTAATTTAAGTTCCTGAAGGATCTTTGGACTAATCTCATAATTGCAGAAGGGCCGAGAGCAAACGCTCAATTCTCCGATAAATGTGTCGGAACGCTCCTGGGTACTAGCAGCAAACGCTTTGAGGTGAAAATAATATTTAGAAAACATTGTAAATTGTTAATTATTAATAAATAAATCTAATGACTTTGATCATTACTCGTTCTTAAAAGAAAAAGAAATTCAAGGAGGAAATAGTTTGAGTTCGGTCGTCTAAAATACGAAGTAATGGATTCTACACCAAAAACTTCAACAATCAAGAAAAAGCAATAGCACACCTTTAAAAACTCCTTTTAAGAGAGTGAACATTTTCAATTATCAACTTATTTTGATATCTATCTTCTATACTATAAGCTCCGAGACCTCCTAATTTGCGTATCTGGTAACGCTTAGTTCCAGCGTTCTACCGGGCAAATTCCCATGATTTTCGCGGCTACGGACGAGTAATTGTCTCTAAGTGAGTCCGCTTTATTCAGATTTTGAAAAAATGACCCAGGTTGTTTTATATTGCGTGGTAAAGTTGCGAATTCTCCCATTTAAACAATGTATTTTTCTATTTTTTGCCATAGTTCATTTGAGTGCTCTACTGGACCAATTTCCATGAATTTTGCGGTCATCGACAGGCGATAGTTCCCAGATGAGCCCGCTGTAATCAGAATGTGAAAATAGGACCCAGGTTTTTTTATATTAGAGGAGACCAGAAAGCGCAGAAAGGGGGGCAAAATTTGAAGTAAGCGGAAATGTTGAATCTTGGTTTGTTAGTAGGGTAAGTGAATAGAAGGGATGGTCCTTTGGTACATACTATCCAAAAGTGACGAAAAGCTCCGTTCCATTTCGTTTCAAACTTGGCGTAAAGTTGGAAATATATGCCGATTTTTTCATTCGATCCTTATTGGTCCAATTGTTCCCGGCCAGAGGGAGATGGGATTGATGAAAGTCGGGTATGAAAATCTTTTCATTTTTTTGGTCGTTCTTTTGTCGACGCGGGCCTAAGAGAACGCGAAGTGCCCTCTGGGTCGGGTTGGGCCGCGTAGCGGCCAGGGAGCATAGCCCCCTAGTAATATTATGAGATCGAAAACGGTAAAATCCTTTTACTCAACATATAGATCGTATTCGATACATCAAACGGGTGAGATTTTATCGATATCGATTGGTTCAAAACATAAACATAGCCTCGAAAGTCAATTCAGAAATCTGAGGGAACGAATCTTTTGAAATAGATTTTTTATTCTTTTGAGTACCAAATGCCAATGCAAAGTGAAATTGTGAGGAATTTTCTCATTTTCAGCTTTTCCAACTTAAATCCCAATGGTTTTGATTGAGGTTATGTTCTATTGTTTAGAACCAAACGATACATCGAACCACTATCAAATAGAAAGTCTTGCGGGTCGATTCTTGAATCGTTATCGAATGATCCTGCTCGAAAAAATCCCTATCTGAGCAATGCTTTTTATCGATCAAGGTTACTTAATAACGATTCAACGATCGACATGCTGATATGATCCTGGATAAAATCATCACATTTTCTAGCGGTTTTCGGACGATCGCCATAGTTGCAGATCTCAGATATTTATCCTCAGTCAATCAGACATTATTATTTTTGTATTATTTAATTAATGGTAACGGTATCTTGATTTCTTCAAATAAGTTTCAGATATGGTAAGTCGCAAGTCAGAATGCCGCATTAGAGGATCTCAGAAAGAATATGGTGATAATAAGATGTTAGACAGCAAAGTAAATTTCTTTTTTTGTATTCTTAAAGGCGCTTATTTTATAGAGAATTTGAAGAGCGCTATCAGGCTTAAGTATTTTTATTTTAACAATGTAAGATAATAGAGCCCCAGCATCATGATTTTATAGGCGAAGCGCAACGTCGCCTCGCTTCGAGCCGGATCCTTACTAACTTTTCGATGCAACTATTCGTGCTCAAATGTTGTCCTCGTTGCATACACCAATAATTGAAGGCATTCTAGTTCCACTTACGCTCTGCTCAATCAGCGCGGTGCTGAGCCGGCTCTTTGAGGTCCGCAGGTCCCTTGAAAAACTTTTATGCTCTATGCTTCTTGAACGAGATGAGCAGGCAAGTATATCAAGGATGAGCGTGGAGTCCAAAATCTTGGACGAGATGGTATATAATCTTAAATACTGGCTTATGGAAGGGGAGGGGCAAGTCAAGTAGCTCATGAGAGCTTCTCGCTTGAAAAAATATTTATCACGGATAACGCTTTTTTTCAATAAAAATAATTTTTCAGCTATTCCTCAGGTTTTCTAGGTTATTTTCTGAAAAATTGGTGTAATTATCAGGGCAGTGCCCCGTAATTCAAAAAGAGGAGTGGGAGGTTGTCGTACAATTGGGAGGGGGCTTAAAAAGTAGGCTTAAATACAAGATGTAATGCTTGAATGACCCTTGGATCAAGTGATGGATGAATCAGGAGAAGTTCCACTTGGTAGCGAAAAAGAAGAGAGCCGGGAAAAGGTAACTAGCCGGAAAGGAGGAGCCTCGAAGGAAGATGGCGGCGGCACTGCTGCTGGGACTGCTCTGAGTCGGAGGTCGCTCGAGCTGCGTCTCGATGCTCGTATCATTGGAGAGCACGAGTCCAGCCTTTGGACGAAGAATCAAAGACTCCACCTGAACGATACAAAAAAAATATTCATTTAATGAGACAATTACTTCTGACAGCACACTCTATGGCCTTGTCTCCATGGGACGTTTCATGGGATTTGTCCCGGGGAAAAATCTCACTCGCAAAGTTGGGAAAAATATTGAGTCAGTCAATACTAATCACAGTACCAACTTAGAGTCCTTGTGGAGGCCCAGGAATAACTTCAAAAGTAGAAGAGGAAATTTTGTTGCGTTTTTTAACGGGGAAAAATCCCAGAAGTTTCATTCCTGCGATTCGAACTTGGGAAAAATCCCGTGGAGACAAGGCGTATCAAATTGGTTGAACACAAATCAACCTAACTACGTTTCACGGACCCTAATTTTCTCTCACGGCTCCTCTTTTCAATAGAACACTAAACAACGTAACTCCTTGAAACTTTCTGTGAAATGTCTATGATTTGCAGGGAACATACTTAAAAACTTAAAGTCGGAATTTTGTTTGTGAGGGTGTGTGTGGGTGTCGCACTAGGTGATTTTAAAATGTCCAAGGAAACACTCAGATCCGTAAAAACATTTTGACTAACAATAAAACTGTGCAAGAAACATTTGGAAGCAATTTCAAGAGCTTAGTGAAACACTAGAAAAGGTGATAGGTCAAAATGTCCAGAAAAAAAATATCAAAAGTCAAAATGTCCAAACCCTGAATGCCCAAAAATCTAAAAAGGCCAAATATCAGTAATGTCCAGCAGACAAATAAGTTCAAAAGTAGGCAAATGTCCAAATGTGAGATTAGGCATTGGTTGAGTTGTTATTGGAGTTTCGGGTGCGGTTTGCGAGCTCTTTGTGAATGCAGCCATAGAAACAGACGCGTCGGATTTTTCAGAAAATACCAATTCTAAAAAAAAAAATCGGGGACACCTAGTACAACATCTGAGCAAAGTTTGGGCCAAATCCAGGGGGGGCCAAAATCGGCGTTTTTGGAACAACCTCTTTTTTGAACTTTTTGAAGCAGTGTGAGCAAACATTTCAAAATCATGAGTTGAAAAAGGTTGACTCCGCGAGTCTGAATATTAGAGCCAAAGAAAACACAGAGCGGAGCGGCGGCGCGGCGTGCTGCCAGCTCGACACAGGCACTGGCGCCTACAAACCTAACAGAGATACCTCACGCATTGCGCAATGCGTGAAGTATCCCTGTTAGATTTGTAGGCGCCAGAGCGCGTTCCGCGCTGGCCGCTTACCCGCCGCCGCGCCACGCCGTGCCGTGGCGCCTCTAGCAACTATTTCACAACAGAGATGCTGCACAGCACCATACGAAATTGAAGGCGCTCCAACATATTAAAAATGACAGGCATCTTTTAAGAGTACGGAGCTTTTTGAAGGAAACGTCCCTAGAATTTCAACTTATATGAATAGAATTTAACTCATATGAGCAAAATTTCTCTTTTCACTTTTCGCCGACTCATATGACTAGAGATTCCAACTCTCATGACTGGAGATTTCAACTCTTATGACTGGAGATTTCAACTCACATGAGTTCAGTGTTGAATCTACCGTGTCCGATATCTCAGAAACTAGTCACCGCATCCAAAAAACTATAAGAGCAAAATGTTCTTATTTTTCAAATTTACACATTACACAAAATCGGCGTTTTTGGAACAACCTCTTTTTTGAACTTTTTGACTTTGTTTTCCCCGCGAAAAAGTGTGGACCTAGCAACAGTTCACCACCTTGTTACTACTACTACTACTACTACTACTACTACTACTACTACTACTACTACTACTACTACTACTACTACTACTACTACTTTATACTGTAAATCGAACCTGAACAAGTATATTAGAGGACTTAGGTACATGGAAAAAAAACGATTGTTTTATCAATTCCTGATAAGAAATGATCCTACAGAAATCTAATCACCAGTTGGATTGCATTTTGCAAAAAGGAACCAAGAGTGTTTCAATGTTGCTAAGATTGTGCTACTCGATTTACCCGCAAATATAAACTGATAGTCTAAACAAGTTATATCTTTACTCCCAATCAACTATAAATTAAAAACGAAAATTATTTGGTCAATTTAATTTTTTGCACGATTCCAGGAATTTTATTGCAAAGATTGTAAATTGCACAATCCTAGCAGCATTGGGCTGCTCTTGGTTCCTTTTTGCAAAATGCCATCCAGTTCTACATTGCTAAGTAGTTCCATTAGTGTAAATCATGGATCTGGTTACTTTCAACAGTCGTATCAAAAAGCATTATCAGAAATCTATTATTAGCTACTAGATTTCCTGGGGATCGGAAAAGGAATTTTGTAACTATTAAAGTTCTTTTCCCCCGTTTAATTCTGTGGTATACCTTTAGTCGCTTTATAGCACTCCCTAGCGCTCCGCGACACCTAACCTCCACTGCCCCCTGGCGAACCACAACCTTTCGGGCATTGAGCATACCTTTAGTTCTGTGGCTCACACATGAAGAAGGAAGAAAGAAATAAATAAATCTGTTTTAATTGGACGTATTTCTACCAAACAGACCTATGTGGAGGTGAGAAATATGGGGTGTGCTCGTCGAAGCTGCATAAGAAGCAATGTAAAAGTGGGCGTGATTCCTTTTGAAGAATTGGAAAAGCGGGAGATTACATTCTATCAAACAGACCTATGTGCCAACTGAATGCGGGAGTCATGAGCCGCGGGCATGGCAAGAGAGCCTTGTGCACAGGGCTCATGAGTTAAAGACTCCCTCCAACGATCTCCCCGTTGTGCCGGCGCTCCTTCGTTGCCGCTGACATCACTGGCGCTTTATTATTCTCATTCACTCTTACGCAAAGAGAACTAACGAGCACACCCCATATTTCTCACTTGAACATAGGTCTGTTTGGTAGAAATACGTCCAATTTTGTGTTTCATGCGTAAAAAAAAGACATACCTGTGGAAGCTGGCCCTCTTGGTGCTCGCAGTTGAGACTGGAGGCGTAGACACGCCACTGACCAGGGAGAGGGAGGAGCCGACTCAAGTTGAAAGTCGTCTGGAAATGGCCGACGTTGACCACGGCGACGTAGGAGACCTGCTCGAGATCCCTGGCGATGACGAGGACGTCGCCCTCAGACCAGAGCCGAAGGGATCCCTGCTGCAGGACCGGAAGCCGCTTGAGGGCCACCAGGGACTTGAACACGCTTAGGTGGGACTTCTTGTCGGCCTGTGCGGCCGCGTTGGAGTCCCAGAAGTCGGCGTTCACCGGCAGCCACGTCGTCGAGTTGCTCGAGAAACCCGCCGAGACGGAAGAATTCCACTGGAACGGTGATCGCTCCGGGTCGCGGGACTTTTCCTGAGGGAACAAGTCCAATAACGTCAAGGCCCAGCGCCGGAAATAGACACACGGAAAAAAATCAAGTTTTGCATTGTACAATTGGACGTATTTCTATCAAACGGAACTAAGCGCCGTAGGGGGAGGAAGGTAGAGGGGGGCTTGGATTGGCGGCGGAATTGGGCGTCCGGCTTATTGCGTCCTATACTCGCAATGCTTTTCCATGACGCTTAGGTCCGTTTGACAGAACGCGCTATCCGGCAATCTAAATTCCTCAAAAGGAACTCAAATTGGCGCTTAGTTCCGTTTGATAGAAATACATCCAATTATCTAGTTTAAAAAAAAACCAATAAATTGGTGGGCCCTAATAAATTAGTTAATTACCGAAATATTGCTGCACAACCACGATTAATTTGGATTTCCCGTATCATCCGACAAATGCGGGTAGTACTAAAATTTTAGGAGATAAACCTCTGACACTTTTTCCCTGTGCGCGGAAAAAATGGATTGCTGATTTAACAATTAAATTGTTTAAAAATGTGTCCGACATGTTCCAATGTAGATTGTACAGTAAGAAAATGCTAATTTCACCACCCCTGTCGTTAAATTAGCTTTCCCCTGCGTAAAATGTACATTTGAAACATGTCAGACACATTTTCAAACAATTTAATTGTTAAATCAGCAATCCATTTTTTTCCATACACAGAGAAAAAGTGTTAGAGGTTTATCCCCTAAAATGTTAGTACTACCCGAATTTGTCGGATGATATCGTACGAGAAATTCCAATTAATTGTGGTGGTGCCGCAACACTTCGGTCAGTAACCTAATTTATTGGGGTCCACCAATCTTTTAGTTGAAATGGCTGGTGCTTGTAGATTAAGGGAGCAAATGATAGACTAGCTAAAGGGTCTCTCGTGTGTTGCTGTTAGCTAGTCCATTACCTAAATCCTTTGTCCATTGCAACCACTCGCTTCCACCAATTGGATCTCTCCATATTCTTTTTGTCTTCTTTGTCCATCGCTTTGTCTACAAATTTCAAGGATCAGCTCACTGGACTAAAAGGCTATATGTACAAATCAAACATAAATGAAAAATTAAATGAGCATTCGGAAAAAAGGCACACGTCCATCTAGTGTTGCTGAGACAGTGCAACCACACCTTTATTTCACTACGTAACCCTGCACTGGAAATCAAGGAAAATTACCTCGTAACCATAGAACATTTGGACTGCATTTTGCAATTTGGACCTATAAATTCCGACCCGGTTTAAAAGCAACGTATGTGCCATTAGTTTCCCTATGCACATAAGTGTTTTTTTCAGATGAGCCAGGATTTATAAGTCCAAATTGCAAAATGCAGTCCATTTCATATGTAGAAGGCAAGAAACTAAAAGCCTCTGATTGACAAAAAACGCATCCAATTATGACTCTGCACAATTAGCAACAATTTAGCAGTGACGGATGCAATGGGCCTGTTACAAACTTTTGCTAGGGCAAAAATAAGAGTTGTTCCTTATAGATAATGTCTCAAAAATCACGATGAGAGCATCGGCAAACTCTGAAATGCACTCCTAACTTTACAATCTGCGTAAGAAAGTTGAGTTTTTTTAAGCTTCCCGCTACGAAAAGGATACTAAAGCACAGGTGAACATTTCGTTAGAGGAGTCGTTCCATTCAATCCCTGCTCAACCTGGCCGACACTTCCGCGCCCATGTTGAGGAGCGCGAGGTCAATGAAGGCGGATCTATCAACGCGAGAAAAATGTGAATGTGAACACGCCGATTGTTATCAGGTGGTTAGAATCATCGTCCCATCACATGTATTTAGGCGGATTGGCGTCGGCTATGTTGGATATTGCGTGGTATCCTTGTGAGCAAGGGTTGGATGGAATGACTCCTCTATCGAAATGTTCACCTGTGTTGTGGTATCGTTTATGAAGCGGGAAGCTCGAAAAAACGCAAATTTCTTATGCAACCTGTGAAGTATCCCTGGTAAAAATTGGCGATAGGAGCTGCGTTTCAAAATACCATAGGAGTTCTTATAGCCGACTGAAGAGGGCGATAGAAAATCATCTAGCTGGCTATAGAAAGTGGAAAAAAATCATACGGCCGGGCTGGACGAAGCGATAAAAAATTATACTGCCGGGCTATAGTTCCTATCGCCGGGCTGTACACTTTATCGCCTGGCTGTCGCTTTTTCGCCATCGGCTCTAAACGGTTATAAGAAATTGTGTAGAAATTCATGTGCTTTGTAAATCCTTAACTTTGTATCGAATCACTTTAACATTTACAAAACGCACATTATATTTTCCTTTACTACATATTTTTTTCATCAATTAAAATGAGAATAATCCATACAGAGTGTGCAAAAATTTCAAAAGTCATAAAAACGCTGACTCCATGAGATTAATTAATATTAGAGCCTAACACAAAGCGGAGCGGCGGCGCACTGGCACCTACAAACCTAAAACCTAACAGGGATCCTAAACGCATTGCGCAATGCGTGAAGTATCCCTGTTAGGTTTGTAGGCGCTAATGCGCGTTTCGCGCTGGCTGCCGGCTGCCCGCCCGCCGCGCCGCGCCGCGCCGCAGTGTACCACGGCGCTTGAAGCAACTATTTCACACCAGAGGTGTCGCACAGTATCATACGAAATTGAAGGCGCTCCAACATATTAGGAATGGCAGGCATCCTTCAAAAGTACGGAGCTTTCCTTACAAAATAAATCAAGATACTACGGCCCAAAAAGAGAGCGGTAGTCCAAAAACTCACTAAGTCCTAGCATCCGTAATAGGTAACGTTTAGCATACACTTCATCGCCAGGCTGTTGCTTAGTCACCATCGGCTATGAAAGGCTATAAGAAATTGTGTTGCCGGCTATGGAAGTTATTGGAAATCTCACAATCTAAAATCTCTAAAAATTAATCTGGCTGTAGGTCTGTGGTATTTTGGAACACAGATTCTACTGCCAATTTTTACCAGGGTAAGGAGTGCATTTCAGACTTTGCCGATGCGCTCGTCGTGATTTTTAGACACTTACTTTTTGCTCTTGCAAAAGTTTGCAACAGACCTATTGTGGCCTTTTTCCGAAGGGTTCTTCACGTTTAAACCCACACCTCAAATCGCTCCTTTCCAGCGTTGAGTCCTTGCGGGTCGGCCGTCTCCGACCAACTAACATAGGCGTCTTGCATGGCTATCTCGTCGCCCATGTACGTGACAACGGTGCCCGGCAGAATAAACTGGATCATGTGCAGACTATCCATGAAGTCTCGTCCAAAGCGCGTTGCGGCTCTGTGATTGTCATGGTTACCTATAACAAACGTAGAGAAGTAGATACATGGGCGTAGCTAGGGGGGTCCTGGGGGGCCTGCCCGCCCCAGAAATCTCGTGCCCCCCCCCCCCCAGAAAAACGGGATCCTCCATTCCTCACCCCCCCCC